TACTTTGGTTTTGCTGACTTTGACATTTATGGCAATACGTAAACAAACTTTTTGTTTAGAAACAAGTGCAAACGTATTGTGTACTTTCGAGTGAAAAATCGAAGTAATTCGTTCGTTCTGAAGTAAAACACGTTTTATTTGTAATAAAAACTTTATAAAATGTCGTGTCGTGTGTTGAATTGCAGCAGCCGTAGGGGTAAAGCCCCCAAATGCAGTTTTTTTTTTGTTACCCCGCGACGACGCCTTGGCCAGAAAGTGGGTAGAGTTCTGCCGGCAGGAGAAGCCATACAATTTAGACACCAGCGTAATATGCATGAAGCACTTTACGGACCACTTTTAAACACGACATGTTAAGTTGAAAACGTTGAAATACCACAAATTACAAATTAAAATCGGAGGTAAGCAAGCATCGACCACTTTCTGCAGGAAAACATGCGCTGCGACAAGATATTATCACTTTTTTGGCACCTGCAATACAAACACAAAAATTCTAAATAGTTAATTAATAAGACCTATTCTTCTTTTGAACACATTTCAAGAGTGGTTGTATATTTTTTGTTAACGTAGTGCTTAATTTGCTATATTCAAAGATGGCTTGATAAATTGGTGAGAAGAAAACACGTTTTCTCACTGCAAATTCACAACTGTCAACTCATTGTTCTTCGCCATACTCTTTGTTTACCCGTTGCCACAAATGTCATTCTGCGGGAATGCGCAATCTTGTATTCTATCGTTCTTGACGTTTTCTCACTGCAAATTCACAACTGTCAACTCATTGTTCTTCGCCATACTCTTTGTTTACCCGTTGCCACAAATGTCATTCTGCGGGAATGCGCAATCTTGTATTCTATCGTTCTTGGGCATTGGCCATATTCCTAACTATTTCGCACTAAGTGCAATCTGAACTTATGCTTATCGGCAAAAAAAAGTTAAATGAATTGACCCACTGAGGTAGTTCACGCTTGCCTGGTTATCAGGTTATGTGGTTAAATGTTTTATTCAGTTTACAACAATAAAATACACTACACAATAATAATTTTTAACCATATAACCTGATAACGACAAGTGTGAACAACCTCACTGTTTACTTCCAAATTTTTTGCTTGTTGTTGTTTTTGTTGCAGCGGCTAGAACAAGTGCAGCCTCGACGGGGTCTGTCCATAAGGACAGGGGCTTAGTGCGGTGGGATTCAGAGAGCATACGAAGAGATGCTGTGAGTCATGGGGCGACTCTCCGCATGCCGGGCATTCGTTAAGAACATCTTCGTTTAATCTGCTCAGGTATGAGTTCAACCTACTGCAGTAACCAGAGCGCAGTTGGACTATTCTGCTCAGAGTCTCCCGAGGCAGACGAAGCTCTGTCTCGTCCACGTCTGGTGGTTGTGCGCCCAGAACGGCATTCACAGGTCGGGAGTCTACATACCTCGAGACTGCCTCTCTGTGAATGCTGTTCAAGGCCTGTAGATAAGCTGTCGGGTCCAGAGGTTGTTTGATGAACCTCTGGACTTCGTCCGCCAGTTCGTAGAGATGCCTCCTGACGTGCCTGGGCGAGGGCTCTTCTGCAAGGAGTTGTCTGTTTTTATCTGACCACGTCTGTGGCTCCCAACCAAAAACTGCTTGCAGAGCATTGTCTTATGCTCCTTAACAGGGAACAAGTGGGTCTCGTCATGCAGGTGGTGTTGCGGCGACATCAAAAGGCATCCTGTTTCTGTCCCGAATGACGTGTTCTGGCAAGAATGCAGCTTCATCCACTGCGTCCTACAAATCCACACGCCAGCAACGTTTCCTTGTCTTTGCCGTAGGTGCTGCCGGCTAGCGACTAGAGGAACTTGTTGCGGCTTTGTACTCTGTTGACAATTGCGGTTGTATGCGCCGTGAAGGAGAGCAGGCTATAGGTTACTCCGAGTTAACTTCTGGTTGTTCACTGTCGGAATTGGTGAATCATCGACGTGAATTTTCAGTTGTAGTCTGACCTCCGTTGTCCAGGAGGTAAAAAGTGAGGCCGAGGATTTTGTAGGCGAGAGGGTTAGGCTCCGTGCAGTGAAGAAGCGAGAAAGCTCGGCGAGATAACCGTTTACTTTCGAGCACAAATCATCAATTCCATTCGCAGATGGCATGATCGAACAATCGTCAGCATAAGAGACTATCGAGACTCCCTCTGGTGGTTGAGGGAGCTTTGAAATGTAAAAGTTAAACAGTAATGGGAAAAGGACACCACCCCGTGGAACCCCTGTTTTATTTTCCTAGGTTTGCTCGATTTGTCTCTAAAAGTTACTGACGAGTGACGACCACCCTACTAGAATAGTTCTGTCACAGGGATGGTTTCGGTTAAGGCCACGAGTTATCTGGGTACTTATGGCGTTAAGAGCTGTTGTTGTGCTGTGCACTTTACGGAATCCATGCCGATACTTCGCTGGGATGAGGTGGTTCGTAAAATACGGGAGTCGCAAGGCCTCTAGTGTCTTCGCAACCGGGCAAAGGAGGGTTATCGGAAGATAAGACTCTCCTTTGTTGGCTGGTTTCCCCGCTTTGAGCAGTGGGACCACTCTCCCCATCTCCCAGATGTCTGGAATGACGAGTGGACATTGACAGATTGAGGACCTCCGTTAGGTACTCTAATCCTGCAGGACCCAAATTTTTCAGCATCAACATGCATATTCCGTCGGATCCAATGGCTTTGTAGGCTTATGCATTCCCGTTGGCTACCCTTACCTCACCGTTGGTTAAAACAAGAGGCGCACTAGGCTTTGGCAGTTTGTGCAGCCTTCTGGTCACTCGACGTTTGACTGTATCCACCGGAGGATGCAAAATGAACTGCCGGTCTAATCCAGCTCGCGCTTCGCTCCGGGTCCGGCGAAGCGTGGTCACCAACCAAAGTCTATTTCAACTGTGTCGTCACGCTTCGTCGGGTTAGACAATGACCTCACCGTTCCCACGACAGTCGGGTCTACGTAACCGGAACGACCCAGATTTATATCTGGCCAAGGACTGTCACTCCAGCAACACTCCCCAAAAAGTCTTTGGGGAGTTTGTATGCTGTTACAACAACAACAACAACAACAACAACAACAATAACAATGACGTCACGGTTGACCAAAGCTTACTCGCACCAGAGGTGAAGTTGCAGGTCTTCAGATGCTCTTCAAATTTCTTCCGCTTATGTACGTTCACAAGTTGCCAAATCTCCGAGTTGAGATCCCTGATACGGGGATTTCCGGGATCGGCCTGACGAAGGTTTCTGCGCACATCGGCTAGGGCAGCCGCCTCAGCATGAAAATTCGGACGGGGGTCCGAGATACAACCCGCTGGGACGAAGCGGGCTGCAGCAGCAGTGACAACCCTGTGGAATCTACGCTCACCTACATGAACGTCGGTTGGTGTGGGTGGTGCAGTGAAGGCGTTTTCAGTAACATCGGCGAAGCCTTACCAATCAGCTTTAGAAAAGTTGACATAGGTCCGGTGATCCGCGGAAGCAAAGTCAACTGGTTTATCAATCGAGATGATTATGCGCAGATGGTCTGATTCCAAAATCAGCGTATGTAGGTGGACATGATATTCTGTTTATCAGACCAGCACTGAATATTGTTACGTCTGGCGAGCTGCAGCAGCTGCCCATAATCCTGGTGGGTGCGTCGTCGTTCATTGTGCAGAATGTCGAATCGTCTATCTGCTCAGCCAATTGGTTCCCCTACGATAGTTTGACAGGCTTGAACGCCAAAGATCGTGGTGCGCATTGAAGTCACCAACTACCATACGGTTTTCACCTCTGAGCAGCGCACGTATTTCAGGGTGACATCCTGCCGGGCAGCTAGTGACAAGGGATATATATACGTTAAATAATTGGAGCTCAACATCGCCTGACCGGATAGCAATACCCTGACATTCTAGGATGGTATCCCTGCGGTCGATGTCTGCTTCGATAAGCTGATTGCGACCGAGCAGCACAGCATGGGTCCTCATAGTCCCTCGTCCAATACCGCGTGGTGCGCAGTCTTGAGCATGCCCTAAAGTGACACCAGCCAAGGCAAGTGTTGCACTTGGTACTGATGTCACATTACGGAATATCCTGGACTAACACACCGTGCAGATTGTCGGAGAAACTAAGAGTTGTAGGCGGTGGAGTGTGGGTGGTGGTGCAGTTATATCGGTGGTGTGGTCTGTTGTGTCAGTGGTATTGTCAATTGTATCGTGTTGTGGTGCGGTTGTGTTCGTGTTGAGTTGCTCAGGCGGACTCTGTTGTGCCGTGGAGGCAGGTCGATATGCGCAGCAGGGGATCAAATACGCGGTAAGATGTAGCCCTACGAATGTACAACTTTTGAGTTATTTCGCCAACCTAAACGGGGCTAGCCCTTGGTGGGGTAAAACCCGAGTTATTCCGGTACGTAGAACCGGCTGTCGAGGGAATGACAAATAATGGTTTCATTATTTAGATACCGGCTAACAGGCAAGTCCACCTAAAGGCGGGGTTCCTTATTTCGCTCCTGGCTGGTAAAATAACTTTTTCACAAATCTTCAAATCAAATTTAGTCAATACAGATTTTTTGATTAAAAATCAAAATTGGGGAGTTAGAGGGCTAACAGTCGTTGAGAGGAATTTTTTGTCAAAGTTAACTTTTCATGGGACACGAAAGTAAAGACCTGGACACTGACCAATGAAATTTATCCATTGACCCGAATCATTATCAGAAGTGTCAATAAAGATTCTCATTTCCCTATCGTGAATTCCATTAGCTAAAAATTAAACACAAATTGGTTTTGGGTTGCCTGTAAATTTAATGAAATGATTTACTTACATAGATTTAGCGATAGGGCTGAATAAATCTGGGTTTACCCCTTCGGGATATCCACCTCGGCCTATGCGATGGTAGCAAAGAATTGACCGACGATTTTGGTTTTTAGAAATTTTGTGTATACTTTATTTTGCATATAATCTTGGATTAGGGATATGAAGTTGTACAAAATGATTAAAATATGTAAATGTTAAAAATGTATTTTCTTTCGTTTTTTTTTTGTTTGTATAATATAATTATGAGTAGGATTATTCGCATATAACGGGAAGATCCTGTGTTGTGACCTCTGCCGCAGCACTCTCTTTTAGATCCTTAGCGTTAGTAATATCCTGTACAAAACAAAAAATCAGAAAGAGACACATTTTACACGAGGTATCTTAACGAAACTAATGTTTTTATTGGACATTTAAACACTATGATCAAAAAGGAAAAAAAAATCGAATTTAAGCATATGTATATGGATTTATGAATAATGTATGTTGAAACGTTAAGCCTACAGATGTTAAAAGAGATGGGGGAAAACGGGGCGACTAGGAGATTGTACTAATCAAATTGTTAGCACGATAAAATGTGTGAAATAAGACACTCAAATGATGAAATAGTAGGGCGAGCCGAATACAGCACATTTGAAGATGTTTTCTTTTTTTTGATGTTTTATACGAGTGATTGCATTGGTGCAAGGCGTTACTGAAAACACGTTTGTGAGTTCCAAATAATTACTTTATTAAAATTTTGTTTGACAAAAATACACAGAGAATGCGTTCCAAGCATGATAAAAATATAGTAAGGTAGAACCGCTGAGAGTCACTTTTAGATTCTTGACGTTTCCAAACAATTTAATTTTTAAATTTACTCACAAACTCACACACACATTTTCATTTTCAATCTCAAGCAACAACAATTTCGAACAATTTCAATTTTTTATTTTCACTTTTATATGATTTTAAAATGTTGGCAAACTTCAAAAAAAAAATCATGGCCGACAAATTGAGAGAACGGTTATACCTTGCTATGTTTTTATCATGGTTCCAAGTATAAATTCAAAAATCTATTAAAAATAAATTAAAATTTTTGATGTTGGAGTAAAACAAAACATTTGGTTGAGTTTTAAACGAATTCCTATACTCGAACGAAAACTCTGTGAATAGTGCGCAAACTACAAAGAAAATATAAATAAACATGAGAACTTATCAAAATTTCGGTTTAGTAACTCTTTTTCAGTAAATTTCAACCTGAATATTACGAAGCCTTGGAAAGATGTATTATGAAAAACTGTTAATGAATTGTCATAATTTGTTACTTTGTCGAGCATCCCGAAAATGTTATGTAAAAAAGCGTTTGTTAGTAACGGATCTAAGAATGAGTTGACCGATTAATTTGGGGCACTTTTTTTAAATTGTTTAAACCAATTGTTACTTGCAATCTAATATGTATGATATCCATAAAAATTCTAGCATTATAAATTTCATTTCAAAACTTGTCATTATATTCAACTAACATAATAGGGCTATTCGCGATTCGGTGCATAAGAGCTGACAAATTTATGCAATTGCAGAAATATGCCATGGATTGTGAGCGACGTTTATTAAACTGTCATGGTAAAACTTTTTTAATCAGTTGATAGAAATGTCAACCAGAGTTGCAATGCATAGCATTTTTATGCTATGGATTTTCGGTATTGCAAATTTGTCAAACCATGACAAATGCAAATGCGTGTATTTTGTTTGTGTATTGCAAATAATTTGCAATACAAATTTGCAATGCAATGATGCTAGGCCATTTGCACCGGATCGCGAATAGCCCTAATACATTTATATGGATTCCCGCCATAGCCTAATACCGTTTACATGAAAAATTCGTAATTAAATTTGACAGTTCATCGGTTGCTTTTGTGGTTTTCCTTCATTTCCTCTCCCTTCGTTTTGCTTCAATAGACGAATCTATACTAGCAACGGCAACGATTTGTCCATAATACGCATGGTAATTGAATCTGAATTACTTACACATGAGGTAATTCACTGCCATAATTTTCTATGGCGAAGTAAGTAATCGAATGGGAGAGTGAATGATGAACAAATTACCAACGAAGCTGCCGATGGAAAGTATTTTAATATAAATTTTTTGAAATTCAAAATTCTTACACCGATTTGTAACAAAAAAAAAGAGACAATGGACCTTTTGAAGTCGGCAGCCGTTATTAAAAAATGTGTGTTGCTTTCATTAAATCAATCGGCCAATCATTTCGACTAAAACGAGTAACAGCGCAATGAACCATGCAATCAGTTATCCAGAAGCAAGTACAACAACAAAATGGCATACGGAGTTTACAAATATGTACGCATGTGTATCTGTATTTCTAGCAATCAATATCATTCTCTTTGATAATTTTCTAAACCTCTTACAATGCGATTAGTCTATTTAGTTTTGAAGTTTGGTATTCACCTTGGATGCATAGGCGGCAATGTTTTCGTTTTCATATTTAATCGTATCTTTTAAAGTGCTGTATTTTTTGTTCGTTCGTTAATTATTTGTTGTCGCCGCATTAATTTTGAGCTTCATTAACACTGACCACACTGTCACTACGAATTTCCGTATCAACTAAATGCTTATCAGTCGATTTTATGCAGCCATGCAAGTGTGATTTATCAGCCAACGGCGTAGTTGCATCACATTTAATAGTTGAAGGTTCCAGTTGGGCTATTACCTCCTGTATAGGAGCATCTACGAAATTCAATAAAATTGCATTATTTTTAATGCCATCGCTAGAATGGTTACTAATTTCGATATTCTCAGTCTTAAGATCATGATTTGTTGCAATGATTTCGTCTGATACATCAACTTCTGGCTGTGGATGATTATCTTTCTGTTGGTGAATTAGCTCCACAGCTTTTTCGGTTATTTCATCTACCACTGCTGTGGCCGCCTTTACGAATTCTGCTTCTTTATTTTCTAAAGTGTGTTCCCGTAATCGTGCGATTTCGCCCGTTGAATTAGGAAGGCTGGTAGTCGAAAGCTCTTCATTGGCTGCTAATTTTTCCACTGAATTTTCTTCCACTTGTTTGATGGAATTTTCTGCCACTTCCAAAATTTCAGGTTTTTCAATAGCATCAGCCGTAATCGTTTCTGTGTTAGATTCATTTTGCACACTTTGCGCGGTTGTGGCAGACTTTGTCTCAAGTGAGGAGGAGAGAATTTCGATTGCAATATCTTCTTTATTTAAGAGTTCTTCATTAGAAGATTGTTGTAAATCAGGCATTCTATTGATATCACTGCATGGAACTGCGGATGATGGTTCGGAGGTTCCGATTCCAGTAACAATTTCTGGGGAAGCGGCACAAATCCCTTCTTCTTCGGCTTGATTGTTGTCATTGAATGCAAAAACCGACACCTGTGAGGGTGGTGGGGAAACAGGTAGCGGAGGAGGTTTTGGGGAATCTTGAGCCGTTGATGTTGCACTTACTGCTGTACTCAAATCTTCGCCTTCATTTTCATAATGACTTCCGACTGCGCTTTGAGCTGGTTGATTTGCGTTGCGATATGCAGGCTCCAACGGCTCTTCGTTCCCTGCATCAACATTGGCGACTACAATTGAAACTGTGTCTGAAACTATAGATGTTGATACAGGTTCGATTGCCTTCAAAGCCGCATCAACCACAACACTTGTGGCGCTATCTGTAGCAATAGCTGTTTGTTCAATTTTACGTTCAGTCAATTCTGTAATCATACTTTCGCTGATTGGTGTGCCAGTTTCGATCTTAGCCGATTCAGTGTTGGGGTCAGGGAGTAAAAAAGGGGTTGATTTGGGTGAGGAGGAAGTAGTAGCGGTAGTCAAAGTAACTAAATCGTCTGTGAGGGCAGCTGGATCTGTTTGGAATATTACCTCAACTTGTGATTTGGACTCGATTTCGGTTTCGAGCTCTTCACCGTTTGCGCTCGTGCCATTTTGATGTACAGCGTTGTTATCGGACACCTCGTTTGGAATGCTTTTAATTTTTTCGGCAACGTCAGACGTTTCTCCCATCAAGTCTGTTGCTTTGTCTTTAACTTGATCTTTCTGGTCATCAACAGTCGATAACGCAGCTGTGCCGTTATTTTCGGTTGCATCGCCATTACTCACGACAGAGGGTGGATTTACAAAAGTCTCTGCGGCTGCGATAATGGCAGTGGTAGTAGTTTGCTTCTCAGTCTGATTATTTTCAGTGGCAGTGGTTGAGTTATTCTCAACTGAGTTTTTTGTTTCGGTGGTATTGTTAGTGATGTTGGTGGCGTTTTCATTAGAAGAGATTACCTTTGTTGGCTGCTCTTCGGTTGGTGTGGTTGATGTAGACGTTTTCTCGCCATGCAATTCTTTCTCAGAGCTATTGCCGCCGTTTTCAACGGGCTTCTCGCATAATTTTTTTGCTTCAGATACTCCAGCTGCTTCGTCGTCGGCCGTCTACAAATCGAATACAGATATTAAAATTTAAATAGAAAAACTTAGAATTAGTATATAGTGAAGTATACCTCTTCTGTGGCAGCTCCTTCACCTGGTTGAGCCGCAGCTTCACAATTTGTGGTCGCCGCAGTTTCTGTTGCTGCATCCTCGGACTTTACTGGCTTTTGTTTATCTTTTTTCCCAAACGAGATGCTACGGAAAGACCATTTCTTTTTTACCTTCTCCTTCTTGGGCTTCTTGTTGTTTTCGTCGGCTAGAGGCGAGATTTCTTCAGCCGTTTTATTACCGTCTTTAGAGGCGGCTGAGTCGTCTTCCTTAGAAGCTGGCTCCACAGCACTTGTATTACACTGTCCTGTATTACTATCACCGCCGCCATCTTGCGCCCCACTTTCGCCTCCACTCTTTTCGGTTGTCAAATCTTTGTCATTCTCAGTTTCATCGCCACCCTTTTTCTGTAACGCCTAAAACAAAAAAAAATATATAACAAAAAGTATGTAAATATCTATTACATATTTATTAAACGCATAAAATGACAAAATTCTTAAATAAATAAAATGGATTTAACATGCTTCATAAATCGAAATTTAAATGAAAATACACTTGTGATCCGCTAATTAAGCCAGCACTATTGTGATCAATTTTGGCTATTTTTCTTTGTTTATTTAATGTTTATTGTTTTTCCAAAAAAGTCTAGCTCATTATATAACAAACACCACATAAATCCAGATTTCAAACTTTGTGCAAAAATTATAAAAAAATCTGCAGTTTCAACTGAAATTTCAACTTTTTATTAAGATTTTTATGCAGAGTATGCAGTTAAATAGCCCTTTGAATTCTAGGGTAATAATATGCAAGTCTTAAGTTGCTAAAAAATCGCGTTGATTTTTCATAATTTTTTTTCTGACTTCATGACGCATTTTTTACATACAAAAAAAAAATCGAATTAATTTGTATGGAAAACAATTTGTAATGCAGTCAGAAAAAAAAATTAAAAATCAACGCGATTTTTTAGCAACTTAAGACTTGCACATTATTACCCTAGAATTTAGTGGGTTGTTAAACTACATACTCAAATCAAAATCTAAAAAATCTGAATAAAAAGTTGAACATTTAGCTGAAACTTTGCAGATTTTTCTTAATTTTTGCATAAGGTTTGAAATCTGAATTTATATGGTGTTTGTTATATAATGAGCTAGACTTTTATGGAAAAAACATTAAATAAACGAAAGCAAAATAGCCAAAATTTATCAAAATGTTGCTGGCTTAATTACCTGATCACAAGTGTATCTCTTTATAAAGCTTTTTAAAACTATTTAATTTTTTTATGAATATGTAACGCCACTAGACAGAAAATTCACGACAACTAGACATCGCACACCTAAATCTAAATGGAGCTAACTCAAAAATCAGATCCGGAGATATACGTAACTGCTTATGGAGAATACAGATTCAACGCAATTAATCAAAAACCGTTTCAACAGTAGTTTTTTAAGGGGTGAATATAATCACGAAGAAAAAACTATTTCCGTTATTTGGAGGCAACTACTACGACTTGATTTATGCAAAAAAAATCGTCCTTAATTGTTTTTAGTTATACTAAGTTCACGTTGAGCCATAAACTAGAGTTTAACGTTTTGTGTTTATGAACAACTGTCAAGTGTTCTCATTGAGGTTTTTAAGAAACTCAGAGTCTTATTTGACAGTCGTGTGTTTACTTTTTATTATCCACATTTGGCCTGTTCCCGTACTCCAGCATTTAAACAGAAGTAGTCCGAAGTATTCGTGGTCTAGAATACCAACCCTTTAGCTATCAACAAAAAAAAAAAAAAAATATGGCTCGATAGAACTTTTCATGCCGATTTCAACAATACCAAGATTAGTTATTTGGAATAAATAACAAGTAATTTTTTAAGCAAAAAACAAAACGGACTTCAATTCTCATATATAAAATTAAGATTATCGTTTATTTCTTCCTGATCCGACGATCGCATTTAAACCAAATTAGTATGGGATCAGCTGTGGGGTAACACCTTTCCTTTAAAAAAAAGAATTATAGAAAGCGGTTAACGCGGTCCAAAGTTATGCGCTAACATACATAAAAATATAAATAAATAAAACAATATTCCGACCATGATACAAAAAAGAAGGTAGTTTCATTTAATGACATTCGTTGTTGTTGTTAACCATTTGACTTTTAATAAAATTATGACATTTCGTGAAATTCATGCTACCTGATCACTAGAAGAACTATTTTTTTTTTTAACCAGAAGATTTTATCAGTACATTCAACCCTGTGGAATATGATGAACTACAAAATTATGCCGGCTACATAATTTCGAAAATGGGGTTGACGACTAGGTTTCAGAAAGCACGAAGAAAGTGTATGCTTACATATCGTCGTTTAAAGTACAAAACCGCGTATTGTCGTTCTGCAAAACCGCGTAATTGACATTTTTTGCCAAAAATTGGATTTGCTCACACAAGCTCTTGGCTCAAGCCTTATCCATTCGTCCTGAAATGCGATTTCTTTGTAAAAAAAAGAGAACCATTTTGAAATGAGTGTTTTTACTCTCTACAAAACAATTTATGCAACCTCACATACGCAGTTGTGCATTTTGTTGATACACGGTTTTGTACTTTAAACGACGATCTATTAGTTGTTTATCGGAGGGCGATCTCCTCTTCAAGCCGACTGAATAGCTGAGTATTTTGCATAAATTAAGAATTTGTGAAATTTAATGATGATGCGCTAATCACAAAGCCTAATTTTTTGCAAAATCTTATGAGAAATTTAAAAGTAAATTTGAACCGAAATATAAAAAGGTTTTATTTGGGAAGAACATTTTAGATTCGAATCGCAAGATTGCATTCAAAATAAGAAAACAAATAAATAACAGAATAATGCGCGCGTGGTTTTTATTACAAAATGAAAAGAGCAATTACGATGAAGTCTCCTTTAACAGTTTACACTTTAAATATTTTTAATAAAAAAAATGTGCGAACCACGTAAGTAAAAAAAGTACCAAACACTGATAATGGTTTTTGATTTGAAATTTTATTACATTGGTATAAATATGGGAAACAAAATACTCCGATTTATTGTTTTAATATTATCAAAGTGGCAAGGCCGTTGATAATACTCACAATTTATGAAACTTCAAAAAATTTTATTATCCGTCAAAAGTTGTTTATTGAAACTACCTTCTTTTTTGTATCATGATTCCGACGAATTGATAACTTTCTCTTTTGTGAAGTCGGTTAAGAACCAAAGCTAATAAAAGAGGTTAAAGTTAAACTTTTATATTTCTTATATTTATAAAAGCTCGGAAACTACTCGACCGATATTGATGCTGTTTTAAAGATAATTTAAATACCTTTTACTCGACGTATATAGTATAACCCATATAGAATAACAATTTTACATAAACGCCATATATATAAAAAATATAATTATATATATTTTTTTAAACACTATTAGAATATACATTCCATTAATATTATGCAAAAGGTATTACTTAATTGCACTAAAAAATTGCTAATTTATTAGTAGAAACGTTTATTGCCAAACCACCTTCTACAAAATGATATTAATTGATATAATATTGACACTCTAAAACCCTTTGGAAATTTGGGTAGATTTTAAACAGCAAATTCCCAAATTGTTTCACATAGCTTATAAACACAAATAGTCAAGTAGTATCGGGTGATTTTTTTGAGGTTAGGATTTTCATGCATTAGTATTTGACAGATCACGTGGGATTTCAGACATGGTGTCAAAGAGAAAGATGCTCAGTATGCTTTGAAATTTCATCATGAATAGACTTACTAACGAGCAACGCTTGCAAATCATTGAATTTTATTACCAAAATCAGTGTTCGGTTCGAAATGTGTTTCGCGCTTTACGTCCGATTTATGGTCTACATAATCGACCAAGTGAGCAAACAATTAATGCGATTGTGACCAAGTTTCGCACTCAGTTTACTTTATTGGACATTAAACCAACCACACGAATGCGTACAGTGCGTACAGAAGAGAATATTGCGTCTGTTTCTGAGAGTGTTGCTGAAGACCGTGAAATGTCGATTCGTCGCCGTTCGCAGCAATTGGGTTTGTGTTATTCGACCACATGGAAGATTTTACGCAAAGATCTTGGTGTAAAACCGTATAAAATACAGCTCGTGCAAGAACTGAAGCCGAACGATCTGCCACAACGTCGAATTTTCAGTGAATGGGCCCTAGAAAAGTTGGCAGAAAATCCGCTTTTTTATCGACAAATTTTGTTCAGCGATGAGGCTCATTTCTGGTTGAATGGCTTCGTAAATAAGCAAAATTGCCGCATTTGGAGTGAAGAGCAACCAGAAGCCGTTCAAGAACTGCCCATGCATCCCGAAAAATGCACTGTTTGGTGTGGTTTGTACGCTGGTGGAATCATTGGACCGTATTTTTTCAAAGATGCTGTTGGACGCAACGTTACGGTGAATGGCGATCGCTATCGTTCGATGCTAACAAACTTTTTGTTGCCAAAAATGGAAGAACTGAACTTGGTTGACATGTGGTTTCAACAAGATGGCGCTACATGCCACACAGCTCGCGATTCTATGGCCATTTTGAGGGAAAACTTCGGAGAACAATTCATCTCAAGAATGGACCGGTAAGTTGGCCACCAAGATCATGCGATTTGACGCCTTTAGACTATTTTTTGTGGGGCTACGTCAAGTCTAAAGTCTACAGAAATAAGCCAGCAACTATTCCAGCTTTGGAAGACAACATTTCCGAAGAAATTCGGGCTATTCCGGCCGAAATGCTCGAAAAAGTTGCCCAAAATTGGACTTTCCGAATGGACCACCTAAGACGCAGCCGCGGTCAACATTTAAATGAAATTATCTTCAAAAAGTAAATGTCATGGACCAATCTAACGTTTCAAATAAAGAACCGATGAGATTTTGCAAAAAAAAGTTATCAAGCTCTTAAAAAATCACCCGTTATAAAGTGATGTACGCTTATTTCAAAGCAAAATTTGAGTTTGTAATTTTCGCTTTTTTCAATTCTGGCATTGATCTTTGGTTTTGTTGCACACCTCTGCCCGATTTCGGCTTATGTCATCATCCTGGGGACTGAAAACATCAGTACTGCAACGTTATGTGTTCTCACTCAAAAGGGTTAACATAAAAGTCAAATGAGAGAAGAAATTATGATAATAAATTACCAAATAAGTGTACCGAAACAGAATCGTTAGCTGTCACACTTTATATTATTTTACTATGCTTATGGTCGCCACTTCAGTACCTTCCGAAAACTTTTTTAGAAAGCTTATCAAAAGGCCAAAAAAAAACTGGGATTTGTAACTATTTAAATCAATAAATACATTTCACTGTGGGTTAAATACTTAAACATTTATCGAAGCTCCGATTGTTCCATTTTCTTGTTGTATATTTTTAATTGAAAGAAACTGTTGATATTA